CCCCATGAGGCTCTTTTCGTTGGGCCCCTACTCATTCGTTCCTTGAGCTACCAACACCAGCCTTCGTCCCCTATGAGGGCTGTAATTAGAAGCTTCACAAAACAGGTTTTGGTAGTTTCAAGTAGTTTTGAATGTAGAGCCAGGCGGTTCCTTCATCATACGGATCATGCCCGATCCTCGCCGAGCCTTGGGGTTCATATAGCGCGGCTCCTTTATACAGCGGCCATTTTTTGGGGGGGTCAGCATTGAATTTCAGAGTGTTGTTAAAATCCTAGTGGTCGGCACATCTTCGTGTAAGATCGAAAACCACCGACACATGACTAGCTGACTAGCTCAGTACAATGACAGGCGGGAGCTCAAACCGATCCGTGAAGCAGCATCAAGCATCAAAGGAAAAATTCAGCATCCCGAACTCTTTCCTCAAAGGTTGGTGCGCCCTGGCAAGCTACGACCTCATGGCCCCGGTGACACACGTTGGCCAGCAGTAAGCCGTTGCTAACACAGCCCAGTACCTTTTCGCGTCCTATGAACATGAGAATGCCCGACACTCTACTGGCTTCTGCCTTCAGATCGACGGACACACCTTTGGTATCCATCTTGAGGACAGCTACAGGTACGTGGCGCAGCTTGCTGATTTCCGGCCAGGTCAAGAGCTTGTAGTGCTGTAGCTTGAGGCTATGTGACGGCTGAAGTTTTGGTGGCGCAGCACCTGCCTTTGTCCTTCACTGGTACTATATAATCAGTGTCTGAAGACACACCGTCCTTGATTTCAAGGAACCGCATCTTCTTGGCACTGCAAACCCCCACAACTTTCTTAACGGACTGTTAAAGCTCGAAGGTCTCTCCATCCCAGGACGCCTTCTTGTCATGCCCGAAGACTGAACTCCTTGAAGCCATACTCTAGCTAGTCCCCTACAGCCCCACCTAAACCCACACCTCCATAGCCTAAACCCCTCAAAACTGAACCCTCAAATCCTCCCTACAGCCCTGAATCAACACCTACATATTTTGCCCAAATCCCGAGTCTAAAGGCTCACCGCTCAGACGCAGGTCAGGCATGCGCAGGGCTTCCGGCCACTCATTTGCCTAGGTGTAGGGTTTAGGGTTTAGGGTTGAGGGGTAGGTGTAGGGTTTAGGTTTCCCAGTATCCCAGGCATGATGAGAGTACACCCACATCGACACTTGGACCAGCTTGGATGAGAAGATCCCCCCCTCCTAAACAACAAAAACCTACAAACCCCTTGAAACAACCTCAAAAGTCTGCAAACGCCCTTTGACAGCACTATTCAACATCAGAAAACCCAGTAAATCCTCCCCAAATATCATTAATCTTTTTGGAAAAGCCAAAACCAACACACACACACATATATATATATATATATAATATATATATATATATATAGAGATTGTGAACAAAGACAAAAGCTCAAAAGCCGACATGTGAGAAAGAAACAGGAGAACGCACCGTTTACAAAAAATGATCTAGGACCCAAGCCCTATAAGCCTTAAACCCCATATAGAACCTAAACTCCAAAAACTCATTTAAGATCCTACCAACCCTAAATTTTAGTATTAATCCCGTGTCTAAACCCGTAAACCGCTTGACACAAAAAGAGCCAGGGTGCACGTCCTCCTCGGCGCTTCGGTCGAGGAGCCGCTCGCGCTGACGCGCTTCCTCCAACCTCCGGGACCAGCAAACCCGACAGGTTTAGGGCTTAGGGGTTTTTTCCCTCTCGCATGGCTAGGGCGTAGGTGTTTAGGGTTGAGGGTTTAGGGCTTAGGGCTTGTGGGTTTATGGGTTTAAGGGTTTAGGGTTTAGGGCTTCGGGGTTTAGGGGTTTAGGGGTTTGGGGTTTAGGGCTTAGGGGTTTAGGGTTGAGGGTTTAGAGCTTATGGGTTTAGGGGTTTAAGGGTTTAGGGTTTAGGGCTTAGGGGTTTAGGGGCTTAGGGGCTTAGGGTTTAGGGCTTAGGGGTTTATAGGTTTGGGGTTTAGGGCTTAGGGGTTTAGGGTTGAGGGTTCAGGGCTTGGGGTTTATGGTTGAGGGTTTATAGGTTTAGGGCTTAGGGGTTTAGGGGTTTAAGGGGTTTGGGCTTGGGGTTTCAGCACTCACAGGGGGTTTAGGGCTTGGGAGTTTAGGGCTTGAGGGTTTATAAGTTTAGGGTTTAGGGGTTTAGGGGTTTAGGGTTTAGGGGTTTAGAGGTTTGGGGTTTAGGGGTTTAGGGGTTTAGGGTTTAGGGCTTAGGCCTTAGGGGTTTAGGGGTTTAGGGGTTCAGGGTTTCGGGTTTAGGGGTTAAGGGTTTAGCTCCTGCAAAACTTTTGTGAAGCCCCTGAAGGGAACAAATCCTCAACCAGCCGACCCCATAGAACCCTCGAGCCACCAGGCCCCCAAATACACCAATAAAGACCATGACAAACACCCTTGGCGCTAAGAGAGCTCCTTATTATAAAACTCGAAACCAAAACTCCAGAGTGCCAAAGATCATTATTATGAGACGCACCGAAACCCCTAAACGATGCCCCCTGGCCCTAGCCGCTCCCTATCCCCCGACCCCCGCCCTCAAAACGAAAAGCAACTAAACCCTAAACTCCACATTCTGGAGTTCGGCCCTAAACCCTGAACCCTACACCCCAAAAATTCAAAACTTCCGCACTAAACCCTAAACCCTGCACCCCAAAAATTCTAAACTTCCGCCCAAGCAGCTTTGCAGCCGTTGCTTCGAGGTCTGAACGGCTATCGCAACGGTCGCGGAGCCAGGCCAAGATGACGTAGACCTCTGAGTTTTAAGGGTTTTTGGGGCTTAGGGTTTAGTGGTTTAGGGTTTAGGGTTTACGATTTTAAGGTTTAAGGTTTATAGGGTTTAGGATTTAGGGGTCTAGGGTTTAGGATTCTAGGGGTTTAGGGTTTGTAGGGCTTTGGGTGTGTAGGGTTTGTAGGGTTTAGGGTTTAGGATTTAGGCTCTCTCACAACTCGGACTTAGGCTTTAGGATTTTAAGGTTTAAGGTTTAGGGCTTTGTATATCGGACCTTTAGGGTTTGGTAGTACGGGTTTTTATGGGAGCTCTAGAAATCTACAAAGTCTGGAGATCACAGGCTTTAGAGCTCAAGTCACAAGGTAAATGTGGCGCCGACGTATTTAGAACGAGGTTGTGGGACAACTTCGAGCGAGCTTAGATACGGGATGAAAACGGATCTCGTTTTTAGTCATGCCGAGCTCTACGATGTCGGAGGGTTTAGAGTTCAAGAGAGGGTCTTGGGTGTAGCGTTTGTGGCTTAGGGGTGTAAAGATTGGGTTGCATGCTTCCTGGCTCAGGGTTACAAGTCTAGATTTTTGGCTTAAGCTTGAGGTGTGGTCGGCTTTGAGGTTGACGCCTGGTATAAGCTGTAAGCTCTGGCACTATTCCTGGTCAGGGCTTGCCGCCGTTTCAGGCACAGGTATCTGAGCTGTACCCCCAACAGTGCCCAACAGCTGGAATCAGATACAGCTTCTGAGCAGATAAAAGCAGTGCCAGCCCAGCATAAAACATCATAAGCACCTTCAGCGTCACCACCATCACAACCCTAAACCCCGCAGATTTGTGAAAGAAAGAAAGCTGCGGCTTGAGTAAAGGCTTTTTATCCAAGCCAAGAGACCACGGGAAGAACCAGGCCCACTCCCACGACAGCACCCACGGTGATCGGCAAGGCCTCTAAGCTCAAGTCTTTCACAACGCTTGTCCTAAACTCTACCTGTAGCCGAAAAAGACCTAGCTTCTTAGGGTTCCCTATTAGGGTTTCTTTTTGCTGTTCCTTAACATGGTAGGGTTTTTGGGCCACAGGTAAGCCCTAAACGGCAGGATCAGGAACCCAAGAAGTCCAAGGAGCCGACCCAAATGGAAACTCAAAAGTCCCCACCGACCCCGGGGTGTTCGGGCTCTAAGGCCTAAGGGCTCAGGTGTAGAAACTGTACTCTTGAGTTTCGGGTTTGGGTTTAAGTTTCGGGGATCGGGCTTCACTGAAACATGCAACTCTGTCACGACAAAAGCCCCAAACCTGCACCTCGAAACACTGCAATCCCAAACCTTGAACCTGCATGCATCCCATCAAATGTAAGTCAAGGAGCAAGATTTCGAGCGTTCGATTTTAGGGTCCGTCCAGGGTTCGTGAATACAGGGGCCTTAGCTACTAGAAAAAATATGGGTTTTTGGGGTAGCTTGTAATCGAATCATCACATGGAGTCCTAGGCACTGATTGTTCAGGCTGCTGTATTGCAATGAGTTCCTGGTAATTATAAAGGTACCTTCCAGAGGACCCTGGTGTGCGCGCTGCCTGTGCGCCGTGCCGAAGGGCTTAGCGTTTGGGAAGCCGGGCTTCGTGCAGCTACTGTTTAAGAGTCTTTGGTTTAGGGTTTATTTAAGGGTCTTGGGTTTAGGGTTTATTTGAGGGTCTTGGGTTTAGGGATTATTTAAGGGTCTTGGGTTTAAAGGGTTTATAAGGTTCAGGCTTTCAGTTCACCCTGAGATCACAGTTACTTCTTAATGTGACGAAGTATTTCAGGTTTACAGGAACCAAAGACCTCAAACAAGCCCCACCTGCCTCATCGGGCTTGTTCCAGTCGATCACACTGTAGATGGGGCAGTCACGTGGATCTTCCTGTGCTACTAAGACTACGGCTGCTGCTACTGCTGCTGCTGTTATATTCCTGCTATAACTTCACTACGTTGCTCTTATTGTTATTCGTGAAAAGACCACTTGAACCAGTTGCTGCTGAAAATACTATCGATGCAGCCTCTGCCTTGTTGTGAACCAGGCACTTGCAACGATGGAAAATCCCTCCAACCCCAGCTCCTACACAAGCTCCCGCGTTGTGCCGTTGCGTGACTGTGTCAACGCCGGTGAAAGTGAGGATTGGAGGTTCAGGCTCAAAGCAGCCGAGCTTCGTATGCATCACAGCCTTTCCACCGACCGATTCGGAGCACATGGTGCAGGTAGGTTAGGACCCCATAGAGCACGGCGAAGATGGCGACCCAGCCGGCATGGGAGCACGTGAACGGGACGCGACAGGCAAAGAACGTGATGAGCCTCAGACGTTCGGTAGAAACGAAAATGTCACCAAAGTAAGACCTCTAAAGCACTCAACTCCGTCGGATTTAGGCCGAAAACTATTCTCTGAATGTCTGCGCCCTTAAACTCCCTCTTGCAGCAGGCTTCGTTCGCACGGAACTGCCGTCGCCGTGAAGCAGTGCAGCACCCCCTAAACTCCCTTTTACCCTGAACCCTAGACCCTAGTTAGAAACCCTAAAAGTCCCTCCCTATCGACCCAAGATCCGACGTCCGCTAATCCCCAAAATTTCGATCCTCCCTAACTGCAAACCTGCCTGAACCCTGAACCCACGGCTCTCGGATATACTTACTAATAACAGCAATCGTAACAACAAAAATGAGGATAACAGACATAATGAATATGTTTTTTGTCTATTTATTTATGTACATATTATAATATACGTACAACCCCCAAGCCCTAAGCCGTACAGGGAGCATAAGGATGGTGTCGATACCGTGCGCGAAGAAAGCCAAATAGGCGGGCCACTCCAACTCTCCTGCCAGAACCTGATTCGTTCATACATTGGTTTAGGAGTTTGGAGTTGTGTTAGGGTTCAGGAAAGTTTCGGGTTTAGGGACTTTAGGACGTTGTGGCGTCTACCGCAGCACGTCGAGACTAGCCGGAACAACCGACACAAACACTTGAAGCCCAATGTTCTTTCATGTAATTCCACGCGATCAGAACAGACCTCAGTAAGAAGAGAGACAGAAAGGCAGACAAAGAGAGAGAGGGAGAGAGAGACAGAGAGAGATTCAGTTCGAGAGAGAAAGAGCAAAGAGAGAGAGCAACAAAAGAGTGTCATAAGTCAAGCATAAGCTGTACCAGTAGATGTACTGGTAGCCTGAGACAGCAGTGGCAGCGGCAGTGGTAATCGTCCCAGCAGTCATCATACCAGACTGAACGCGCAAGTTTCTGAGTCGGGCAATGACAGCAGTGTCGCTACAGACTCACAGTTACGAGCCAGATTCCTTTGGACCGATACTGCAAGATTCTGTCCATCAGCACCCTAAACCACTAAACTCTACGGCCCGAGACGTAGGCCGCCCCTATGAATATATCCACTGGCGACATGAGTCACGGCCAGCAATCAGAGATCACAAAAGCAAGCGCAGCATGCGTGTAGTTCTTAAATTTCGGGCACCCTTTAGGGTCCCTATCATCCTGGTGCCGTACTCGTGGGGGACCCACAAAACATCCTAGGCAAAGAAGATGCGGGTTTCAGAAACCAACTGTCTCTAGGTGTAAATACCAGGGTCCTTGTGGTGAGGACCCCTACTGAGGCCCTACTGCAACGCGCCCCGAACTCTAGAACAACCAACCCCTGTCTGCAAAGCCCAGAAACGTCCCAAATCGGCCGCAGGAGAGTCCAGTAAAGGATGCCTACACCTGGGAATCACCGGGCTCTTGCTCAAGAGTTTGTTCTAAGTTACCTTCACCCTAGCATGGAAGCTTAAGCCCCCCTTTCTTGTTTAACTCGGAGCTCTATCCAATCCGGCGGGAGCCACTCGCAGGGGCCATGTTCGGATATTGATTGATTTTTCGCTTCAATCTCGTTAATGTTTTGTTCACATACCTGCTTGATCCCTTGCGTCCCGACGTTGCTCACGATGCTGTTGCATAGTGGCCATCCGTTTCCTTACATGATCTTCTCGTGACTTAAACCCTAAACCCCTGAACGAAACCCAGATCACTATCAGGTGCTTCGGAGGTCCGGCCACGGCTCATGGCTCGGGAGGTGAGAGTCTACAGGAGCTTCAGATTTAGGGTTTAGGTTTAAAGCTTTCGGGCGTAGAGGTTTTTTGTTAAGGCTCAGGCTTAGATTTTGGCGTTTGGGGTTACCACTGCAAGCTTAAAATACGCCAATAAAACCCTTTCTGCGGGCCAGCCGGCAAAAGCCTCTGCTGGGACCCAAACGGGGGCTTATACAGCAGCAGCAACCCTAATTCAACCCTGAACCTCCTTTCAAGTTCTTCGGAAGGAGTAAAGGCTGCGCTTGGGAGGTGGCAGTGCGCAAAAACTCCTTACTGAGCCCGGTGGTCCTGAGAACTCTGCCCAGGACCTAAATCACCGCCCCTAAAACCCCAAACGCAACATCCTCAACCGAAAGCCCTACATAAATCCAAATCCCAAAACCAAAGCCACAGAGAACCCTTCTAGTAACCCTTATACAACCCACAACCCTTATTATGAAAGAACCTTGAAGCGTAATGGCTCCAAGGGCACCTAAAGACAGCGGCTGGGAGACGGAAAAGAAGATCATGGCAACCCGTGCCAGCGTCGGTTCGGTCTCCTTCTCATAGTCCTTGGCTTTGGGCTTGGGTTTTTTTTTTTTTATGGGTCCTTTTCCTTTAGGGTTTGGGCGTTTAGAGTTTTCGGGTCTAGGGCTCAAGGCCCTTCTGAAGGGCTTTAGGCTTCAAGGTTGTAGTTTTCAAGGTTTAGGTTTAGCAGTTCAAGGCTTTAGGGTTCAACATCTGGGCTTACTCCTAGCCCCTTGGGCCCAGTATGAGCGTAATTTGGTTTTTGGCAGCCTTTGAGCATATACCATACGAAGATGAAGGGGAAAAACAGCAACTCCCAAGTCTGAATGGAAACAAAGAGCCCTACTACGGGCTTACGTGGGGGATGTTGGATTCTCCAGGAAATATGATTCGGAAGCCCATGTTGCCGCACTCACGATAACCTTGAATCCAACATCATGCACAAAGGAGCATAGTTCCATGTCTATGCCGTCCTTCCGTGTTGAAGCGGCGTCATGCTTTGCTGCTATAGACATGACGACTTAGGGCTCCGGATTTGGGTCCTGAAGCCCTGTGCCCAACACCCCTTGCACACTGTCCCCCGGTTGTTCTCCCAACCAAGCATCCCATTGATGGGTTGGCTCGGGTGCCTCCATAGCCATCAAGGACAGGAGGAAGAGCAGGACCATGTTCCTGGTGTTCAGGGTGTAGGGTTGTTCCGAGGGAGCTGGGTTCAACCGGCCCTAACGATCGAGACCCGCTTCGAGAGGGTCAGGGCATCCTCCAGGCTGACGGATGTGGGGTTTTCGGCCTCGATTTAGAGCGCTGAGGTTTGAAGAGCGTGTGCCCTCGGCGTGTTGGTTTTGAAGGGTCTTTCCAGATGATGCCAGTGGGTGGTAGAATCTGCCTGTCTTCCAAAAATGGCTCACAGTGTTGACCTGTATTCACTGTCGCAACGTATCGGCCGCAGCAGAAGCCTTATCTGGAGAAGCTTGATTTCCATAAACCCCTTTACCGCTGGGCTCAAGTCTAGCCAGACCTCACCCGCATACTCATCTTGTCAGGGGCCACCTTGCAAGTACCAAGACAGGAGCTGCAGGCATGTCAAGAGATGTACTCACGACACTGCTGAAGAGGCATCCAAGAAGGAAGTATGACGAACAAACATCAGCTGTGAGCATGAACTGCGGTGACATGTCTATAAAATATGCGAAAACAGCAAACCCGAAACCCTGCTGACAATACTGTGCGCACCCCGGGCACTGACAGTTTAAGGGTTTTACATTTCTGCAATATAACAACATTATATAACATCATATACTACATGATATGGTATACGAGGTCTTGGGCAGGGCTTCACTACTTCCTTCCTGAGCAGCCTGCGATCTGGACCTCGGCAGCGACTAGAACAACCCCGTCGCGCCATGACACTCCGAAGGCGTGACAGAGCCCCCCTTAATTCAGGAATGTACCTTAAAATCATATATTAGGGCCCCTAAGAATTTAAGGTATATTTCTTAATTAAGGGGTAATTATTGGGTTAGCCCCCCAGGGATGAACTCCGTCACCAAACCCTGGGCCCCAAAACTACCTCCACCCCGAGAACTTGGAATGCCAAGCCCTCAAGACTAAGCTCTGCCGCTGAACCTGCACCCTGGCAGCTCCACCGCCATCTCACGAAGCCTAGCCAGGAACCTGAAGCAAACCAGCAACAGCCCCGACACACACCTGGCGGAGAGCCTGGCTGGGCGCTTGCACGTCTAGTGGTGTTTGCAGGCTAGTGCGGTTAGGTACGGGATTCTGACCTCTAACCCTAAACCTTTACCTAAACTCTTCATTCAGGGCTTACGCGTCGGCCCCAGGGTGCAGCGAGGACCTAGGCGAGAACAGCTCGACAATGCAGCCGAGATGCCCCGTTTCAAAAATCCTCAGCTCTTCCCGGTCTTCGAACATTGAGGGCTTTAAGCAAGGTTCTGTCTTCGAAAAAATAGGGTTTAAGCAAAGGTTCTGTCTTCGAAAAAATTGGGCTTAAGCAAGGGTTCTGCTCCATGAACATTCAATGAATACTGAAACCCACTACCATGTTGGGTGTGGTTTGGTAAACCCATGCCAATGCGACATACATATATGCATCTATAGCAGCATGAAGGGATGTGGCCATGATGCATACGTAAATACGAATAAGTGTAAAAGCGGTATGTATACATCACAGCAAATAACAGAACAGAATACAATAGCATGTAATATGAAATGGGATCATGAAACATGCTAGATAGAAGCAGGCATACCAGCAAATACTGTTACGGTATGATACTATACATATATGTATATAAATACACGTATTTTTGTATAAAGTATAGGTTGTATGTTATATGTCATACCTTACTTAATAGAAATAATTGCAACGCATAATGTAAAAGAAAATTGCATGCTACGTAGTACATGGTCTATACCGTACGTATGTTATATACGACCCTTTATTATAGCGAAAACATAGTTATATACTTTATTACTTGGTATGACATGTTGTTTTATGTATGCATTCAAGTAGTGTAAAACATGTGCTTTATTATGCTGTCCATTGTGTTATGTTGACACAGTTGATAGCATCGTTAAAACCACTAGAACAAAATCATCATGTTATAGTACAATATCGTATAACTTGATTGCGTAAGACTCTATATCGTATGGTTTCCTTTTGCTTGTTTGCCTGTTTGCTTGAAATCAGCACAATAAAGTACATAATTTTTCATCACATCATATTTGGATATATTAAACACTCATAATGTAATGAATTGTAATATACAATGATACACCATAGCATAACATGGCATGCTATAAAATTACATGATACTATACTATAAGGTATAGTATTGTATAGTACAGCTTAATATGAAAAGCTGAATATAATGTGAAAGGGCACGAACATGTAATGTAATCTGGCAGTTCGTAATGTGAGATAACATAATCAAACACAAGATGACATATTATAGCACAGTCATCTTCGAGACGTACTTTCTCCACTACGTACTTTCTCCACTCGCAAGGGCCATCAAGTTCCTGTTCTAGAGCATTGAGGGCGCTATCGTCATGGATATCATCTAGATGCTATCATCTCAAGCGCCGTCACCATGATAATAATGGCTGGGATTATGGTCACCACCATGTATGTAGTATCACCAGCGCCACCATGTAAGTCATAGTATCACTGCAGCCGCATCATCACAACCAGCATTGTCATCGCCATATCCACTCTTTGTCTGGATCGTCCTCATTCTGACGGACATCATCACCGTCATCAGCATCATCGGCAAAGCCTTCGTCATGAAAAGAGCAGCAACTACCAAAGATAAACCCGACAATGGCGAGAAGAACGCGGACTCTCTTGCTCTCCTCATGGCCAGTATCCAAAAAATGAACCGAAGCGGTCGGAGTCTTAAGAAATGATTGAATACTAAACTCCGACCACAACAGTTGTGGCGGGGTGGCGTTCTTCAAGAGCTTCGTGGCGCTTCCGGGCCTGGGCTTGGGTACCGAGGGTCTGCATAACTAGGACCTAGCACGACCTGGCCGGGGCTCAAAGCCCAGTTCGTGAGGAAGAGCAAGTAGTAGAAGCCTTCTCCTCTGAGGAAGGCGTACTCCACGACGTGCCTCGTGCTTAAGATGTTATAAGTATATATTTCTATGTGTATATATATATACACACGCATTTGTTCATTATTATTATTATTATGATGATCATTATTGTTATTATTATTATTATTACTATTATCGTTTCAATCATTATTTATGTATACATGCATTTATGCTTATTTATTGATCTATATTATATAGTGGCTACATACTCTGATATCCCCGAAACCCAAGCAACCTGGCCCTGCAGCCTCCCTGAGGTTTCAGGTTTGGCAGGGTTCGATGGCACCACAGACAATTCGGCCCACCGACCCTGTGAGTCCATGTACCTTTCAGGCCTAAGTATATACTATACCGCTACATAGAGCCTGGGAGGGAGAGTTTATACGGCAACTAAGCATCGAGTTCGACTCTCGGTGGCTTGTGACGATTGCAGGGGTTGCGCAGTCTGCGGGGGTTTTGGGAGCAAACCCTCATCTGTGGCTGCGAAAAGCAACTTGTTTACAGCATGTTAGCACATGTGGATGGATAATTATATATATATATATACACATACATATATTTATTTATGTATTTATTTATTTGCTTGTTTGTTTGTTTTGCTATTTTTGTTTATCGTTATAGTAAATATCTAACGGTGCTAAGCAATCAGATCCCGAAAATAAGAAGAGCCCCAGAAGCTGATGTTTTCAGGCATCTCAACTCATTGGACTGTCGGGGTCGAACTCTTCAACATGTCTTGGGAACGACTCTCTCGAGCCTCAGAGTTCGCCTGACATCATCCCGGAGAAGCAGCCCTCAAAAGTAATCCAATGCGCAAGGAAGCACACCGGAACCCGAGTCGGCCGAAGATGAACTTGCCGGAACTTCAGAAGGAACAGCCGCCGTCGCCCGCACGCAACGCCCTTTGAAGGCCCAGCACTTTGGACGGGCTTGTAAGAGCAGAGGAGACTCTGAGCCCATTAACCATCCGGTTTTTGAAGACTTCAACCCTCTAGCCAGGCTTCTTCACCGTCTACAGGCATTTTTTGTGCCTTTCCGTACACCCTACCCTAGCCCCCCAGGTACCTACTATATAGGGTACTAGAGCCCCTAAGGCCCTACATAGTAGGTACCTGGAGGGTCAGGGCTAAGCCCTAAACCCTCCCGAAACCCAAACACACACACACACACCCACACACACACACACACACACCCACCCACACGCACACACACACGCACACACACACACGCACACACACACACACACACGCGCGCGCACGCACACACACACACACCCGCGCGCGCACACACACACACACACACCCTAAAGAAAGCAGAGCAGCCACGTGCAGTGAACCACGAAGATGACGGCCATGACCCCTCGAAGGATCCGGAGCATCCCGGGGGTCCTGAAGGTCAGAGGGTCTTAGAGGTATTTAGGGCTTAGGGTTTCGAGTTTTTTTTGGGGTTTAGGGTTTCGACTCTCACACTCGGGTAAATTTAGGCTTTTCGGCATTTTTTTTGAATCTCGACTCTTGGGGGCTGTATCTGGCTCGTATGGGGCGTTTGTGATGGGGCCGGGAAACAAGGGAGGAGCCTGGAAAGTCTCTGAAGGGTTCCAAAGGGGTACGTATGTTAGGGCGTAGCTAGCCATCTAGGCTTACAAAAATGTTTTGTTTGGGTAGAACTTGTGGGTCCAAAGCGATTGATAGCACAGGAACTGCAGGCGATGTATTTGGGTTCTATAATCCTTAAAATCTTAAACCCCTAAGCCCTACACAGAAATTCTAAATCCAACTTGGGGGAGAGCGAGGGTCAAGGCACGCTTCCATCACAAGGCATCATCGGTCTGGGAAGCCACAACCAAAAATGCCAAAAAATATTTATAAGGTAGAAAGGGGCGTAGATAGGGCCTTCGTAGTGATGTCAGGATCTTGGGGGCACATAAAACCACATGGCTTTTGGAAAGGGGGGAAGGCCTAGACCTAGCGTCTTTTTACATATGTTGGAACCTCCGGGGGAGATCCAGCACCAACCACTGCGATGCTGATGGAAGTACCCATAGGCTCCTAAGTATTTCCTTTTTGTGGTTTATATTTAGAATCCCATAAGATAATCCCAAAAAGGAACTACTTAGGGGTCTATGGGTAATGTGCGCAAGAACGATAGCATCGATACCCGATGGTTGTAGTAGAACTCTAGTACTCACAGAAATAATGCACTAACAGGGGAACATGCGCAACAAACACAGCACACGGTACCGACCACAATAAGTATAGTCACAGTGATAGATGTGCAGCATGGCATTTGGCACCTCGGCACTTCGCATGTTGTACGATAGCCGGTATTGGCAGACGGCTGCATTTGCGGTTTTCAGTTTCCCACTTAGAGGGCTCAGTGGTCACCAGCCGAGCCGGACGCAAGTTGCCGAACCTGCTTCTGCATATGGGTAGTTCCCTAAACTAGGGCCCCCTTTTAGGTCCCCAATATAGTACGGCACCCGAAAAAGGACCCCCAAAAATGGGCCGTAAAAAAAGTGAACTACCCATATACAGGTGTTGGGTTTTAGCCTTCCGAGCTTTCGAGATGAATGTTGCATACCGGCCCCTTCTCCAGCACGGGGTCTGTTCAACGCCCCTAAAGCTCTAAACCCCGTGCTTTCAGCCCGCATCCTACACTTTTGATGCTAGGCTTGGCGGTGTAGACTTTGAAAGCTGAAGCCACCCTAAACCCGAAAGAACCCTAAACAACCCTACAGATTCCGCCCGGGTGCAAACATGGAGACGTATCGAAGACTTTCGGCCATTGCCTGGCATCGGTGCACCCGAATCCAAAGGCCAGGGATACTACCCCCAGTCGGTAATAATCAAATATCTATTATAATATCGATATATTATAAAGCCCAGAATAGACGCCAATCATAGACTGTTACTACTGTATGGGGGGAGTGCCTAACAAGAGATGAATCTAGATGATACAGAGTGCATGTCTTCGTCGGCATGTAGACATGCCTGCACGAACAGCCCACCATACCGCTCAACAAAGCAGAGCCTTCTACGAGGCTCCCGTCAAAGCCTAGCCGAAGCTGTTACACACTGACGGTGCAACTTGCTGCCGAAGATGTGGCTATGACAGCCATGGTGCCGACTTCTGAGGCTGGCGCATCAGGTTGTGATACGTTTTTCAGGTGAAGCTGCTTTCAGAAAACAAACCAGCCCCCTAAGCCCGGAGGTCTTTTGGCCAAATAATATCCCTCAAAAGAAGTGTTGTGACGCATTATTTCTATGTTTTTTTGTTCACATGTGTTCTGCTACACCCAAGACTCTGAATCCCACAGAGCTGCCACGATGGCCACGACGGTTGGATCGAGCTTGACACGCCCATGGCGTCACCGTCGTCACGAGGAGCGAAAGCTTTCGTCACCTTCTTGGCAGCTCGAGCCGCGCTGCATCAAAGGCCATGGGGCAGTAATGCAGATATATACATACACACACACACACGCGAAACTTCACATGTTAACGCCTTAAAGTATATAAACAAACACATAGCTTCTCCAGGAAACAACCGCCTGGAGTTTCAGGGGTGTCCGATATACGGAAAAAAACCAGCCCTCAGCCTCTGACCCCAAAGTCTGAAATCCTCAGAAACGGTCTATGTCTGGCGGGAGTACAAGCTCGTTGGCTTCTGTGAAAAGCGTCAAGTTGAAGATTAATCCGGGGATCTTCGGATGATGACTACGTTTCTTAAATCACCAACCGCAGGAACAGATGTAGAAGTCTTAGGAACTAGAACGGGGGTTTTGGGGTATAGTATAGTGTCATATAGTATAGTATAGTATAGTATAGTATAGTATAGTATAGTATAGTTTAGCTGCGCAGCCATAACCATGAGCGGTTGACGAATCCTATGCGTGTTTTCCGACCCCTATACTAAGATCCGAAACAAAAACACACCGAAGTAACATCGAACCGGGGCTCCAGAGGTGGTGTGGGACGGGCAGTGATGAGCCGCGCGGCCTGCCCCACAAACGAGACGCCGGCTGAGGGATCTCTAGGAGTTTAGAACTTTTACTGTAAACCCCAAAATACCCTAGCTTTTTTTTGGGGCGTTGTATATGGGTAGTTCTCTAAAGTTTGGGGTCCTTTTTAATAAGGGTGCCGTGCCATAATGGGGACCTACACAGGAACCCTTATGTAGACAACTGCCCATAGGGGAAATGACAATAAGGCGTCGTAAAATTGCAGGTTTTGCAGGGTTCAGATCAGGTTCGGGGGCTTCTGATTCGAAGGAGGCGAGCAAAGCAGAGTCACAAAGAAATTGCAATAAGCAGGACAGTTGACCTAGGGTTTAGGGTTTAGGGGTTTAGGGTTTGGGGGTTTGGGGTTTAGGGCTGCCTGGCATTTTGCTGAATAAGGGCACGCTTTGGGGGTCTCCCTGCAGCAAACCCGAAACCCCTAAACCCTAAACCCTGCAACCCTGCACACAAAGGGTTCCACTTCGACTATGGGCTGCTAGAGAAAACACCGTCAACGCCTGATTACCAAACAAGAACCCATTTACTTGGGGTTTAGGGTTTAGGGCTGACGGCCATCTTCGGATCTCGGTTAAACTTATGGGTTATAATGCCGACAGTCTCCAATGTAGTTCTTTATTTGGGTTAACACGATCACGAGCCACGAACAAGGAACTACAGTGGAGACCACAGGTAATCCATATTTGGGACAGGGAGGTTTATTGATCAGGGTGTTTCTACATGAAAATTTTGAAGAGAAAACATATTGGCAATTGCTAGACAATTAACAGCACCACTCATGCCCTTTGGTTGTTGTAGAGGAATAGAAGACACCGACGGCACTACATCCACTCGCCGCTGTCCGACTCATCATGACAGCCTACGCAACGATGCCGGAAACGGCATCCGACTCAACCTTGACGAGGTAGAAAGAAGGGCGGTCGCTTGTCTGCACCGCACAGTATTGGCACCACCGACAAGATGTGTCGAATTCCGCACCTGCGCAGGACATCCAAAGACCACCGCAGCCTGCGCTGCAGCTCTCCCCTCGATAAACTACCGCATGCTTGAATGGCCCCTGTGTGAGTGACTGAGGTCTTTGAAGAGATCGGAGATGATCTGAAGTCTAGGGTTCAGGTCTCTAGATTGGGCTTTAGGGTTTCTTGGTGCAAGGGTCGGGAGATTTCGGAGATGTGATCAGGCCTTTTCTTGCACCCTCGCCAGGGCCTGAAAAGCAAACATTGAGATGCTCGGGGCTTCCGGGGTGTTGCTGCATATTCGTCGCGCAAGAAACAGCGAACTTGAGAATGTCTCTATGTGTATGTGCGTATTAGATGCAAAGAAGTCGTATCTATCTTCGGGATGTGTATATGGGCTGAATGACACACACACACACAGACACACACGCATCTCTCTCCGTGCATGACCCCCTACACACACAGAGTGTTTAGAACCCTGCAAGCCTTCAAAGCTTGGCTTTGAACCCGAATCGACGGAGGCCCTGATCTAAACAACAACTCTACCTGCAGCGTGCCTCGCCGTGTGGAGCCAAGCTTGTGCAACTTTCTTTGAGTGCGAGCGCTTCCTGACAGGAAACCCTAGCGCTGCCAGGACCCTCCCACATACCCTCTACAGGGAGGTTAAAATCTTTTCCACGATGCAGGGAATATAGGTGGTCTGGGTACACGCAGCTGCTACAAGTAGCACCAGTACACGTACGGGTTTAGGGACGAGGGGTTTAGACTTTATAGTCCCAAGCCCACTTCCGGCTCATGCCGATGCCCTTGAAACGTGACTAAAGCCTGAAAACCCTATATCCCAGGAGCCTTTGAAGCTATAGAATCCATATATTCTAGAGCCATAAGGAAACCCTTTCTAAGGAACACTGTTCGACAAACCCGGAGCCCTTGCAGGCCGGCAGCTCCTCCTTCGCGTCTTCGTCTACTCTCGAGCTTCAGTTGGACTACGATTATAGGGTTTAGAGTTTAGGGTGCTTCGAATAAGGGCTTGCGATGTCGCATGCTCCTATAACCAGGCTCCTTGGGATAGAAGGAATACGTAGTATCTTCAGCTATTCAGGCTTATTAAGACTGCACGGTTCCATCAAGGCTAAGTCCACTGAGCCCGAAAGCACAACTGAAAGGTAGCAGGTTGGGTTTCTGAGCTCAGGGTACATGGTGGCTTAAAGAATCAGCATAGGGTGGCTGGCACACAAACAACATACCATTAGCAGCTTCGGGGCTGCAAGGGGGTAGTTTTCATGGTTTTTCTCCGACCTCTTAGTTGAGCTTACCAGGACCCTAAACCCTAAATCCTAATAACCCCTACACCCGAGACAGCAGCTCCTAAGCCCAAATCAAGCTTCAGGCTTAGCAGCCTGAAGTTCCGTCAGCCCACACAGTATAGCCCAGAAGCCTGAACGGGAACCACAATCACAAGAACCTAAGGGCCAAGTACTCCTTAGTGTGGGCCTTTTGGGGCCTTTTTTCGGTACCACTCGGTACCAAAGACCCTAAATTCTGACTACTTGGGCCCTTATTAGGGATGGCTCTGCGGATCGGGCACTGGAACCGAACCCAACGTCAATCAAGAACCCACAATATTGCCTAGAGGTCTCGAGCCGCAGAGCCTAATTCTTTCGGAACCAAAAGCGGAAAACTCCCCATGAGTTAGTTTGTCTGTACGGTTGTAGGGGAAGCCCCCAAACTCGCAAACCCCGCAACCCTGGCATAGCGGAAGCATCCAAGAGGAGAACCGATTTTTGCCCTATAAGGCCTGACTTGGAGCCCAACCCTGACGCCTCTGCCCCCGTGGGGAGGGACTGGCCCCAAGCAGCCAAAGAAGATTCAACGCCTCCAGTATTATATGTATTTACGCCTATATATATATACACATACACATACATATATATATATATACATACATATATATATATACATATATACACACACACACCTCCGGTGTGGCCTGTCACTCTAGGACTGCATCTCATGGTTCACTGCAGGACGAGCCAGCTAGGGTTTTTCGACGCGAGTTTAGGAGAGCATACAAGCGCAGAATTGTAAGTCTAGGCGATATACGTCATTGCAGTCACGGCCAGCAAGGTGGTTCAGGAACGACAGGCATAGTTGAAAGGACAAGTCACACGACATGTCGAGCCAAGGTTGGCGGACACGTCTAAATCTAGGAAGCCTGAAGCGTTGTGCTACAAATACATACATCAAGTAGTTTGGGGGCTGCACAGCTTCCTCGACCTATGCAGAGTTCCGAGTGTTTAGGCTTCTGTTGCATCCATTTGAGAGATTGAAAGAACCAGGGGACCCCAATCTATGGAACTGCTGTTTCAATCTCTCTCGCGCTTTCGTGTAGACGACTTTTGAATTCAATTCCGGCTTCTTCCAACCCGATAGCGTCAAACCAAACGCCTGAACCCTAAGCCCTAAACCCTACCGAACAGCCCTTAAGCCGGCAATCCACGCCTCCGCGTCTGGAGCGGACTGCGCCATTGATCTGAATCCGTGCAAGTGCAGTTCCAAGATGAGTTCGGGGCTCAGGGAACCCTGAACCCTTTTTTGCATCCAGGCCTATTGCGACTGCCGGGTACCCCTGAAGAGAGGAAACTGAGGGTCAGGGAGCCCTGAACCCTTTTAGTATCAGGACTTGTGCAATCGCCTGAAGGTCTGAGCATGCGGAGGTTCAGCTCTCATCACTGCACTTCCACACCTTCTCAAAACCCCGCAACCCTGATATAGCTCAAAGCCAGCTGATTTAAAAGCGATTGCAAGACATCTCGCCTGCACACAGCTTCGCGCAAAAAGTGCAGGACTGCGGGCCAAAGCCCCATCCACCCTTAACTCTAGGAGCCTCATTGCTAGATCTTCGACCCAGAACCCCCAACCGTGATCCTCAAGAGTTTGGGCTTTACAATAGGGCCTACAGGACTTCGAGACGCGAGCTCGCACTAGGCAGGCACGGATTCCCAGGCAGTAACGGTGCTGTCTTGTCGGTCTCCAAACTAAGTACTTTATGGGGTGTAGGGCCCAGCTTTAGGAGGCTTTCTATCTAGTTTCCATGCTTTTGAATCCCAGGCTCCGACTTTGAGGCACCCAGGGGGCTCCAGGGGCGAAAGGTCTAAGGCGTTCGGAGCTTTCCGCGAGGGGTTTATTAAGGGTTTAGAGGACTACTCCGAACGCACATGCTCAGGGTTTTGGCCTACACAAAATACATGCCTTCTGAGCTTCAAAGGCCTGAGGCCTGTTGCCAGGGGGTAGGGTTCCAAGGAACTTGGCAAAAAAAGGGTTGCCAGCAAAACGTCCCAACAGAAACCTCTCAAAGCCTACAGCGCGAGACTCTTAACCCCGAGACCAGCCAT